AATCATTCATGGTGATTTTGAATAAAAAACATAATAAATAGGCATGGTGTGTGGTTAAGAGGGGGTTTAGCTTTTGTATTATTTTGTCTTAAAAAATGAAACATTATATTATTTATTATTGTATTAAGAAAATAGAGGAATGTCTATTAATATTCACTTTGCTTTTAAGCGATCTAGATCTAATTAGAATGAACGAATTTTAGAAGAAAAGAAATCAGAAAACGTATTATAAAAAAAATTTAACTACTAGACACACACGACGTGTTTTTGACGAAACGAAAAAAAGAGGAAAATAAGATTTTGAAAAAAAAAGAATGTGAATTTGGTCATCATCATGTCATCAAACGAATCGATATATACGTAAAATGTCATTTTTCGTTATGTTCCAACACCTTTATTACGGTATAGGTAGAAATTACTATAATAAAAAAAAAATAAATATTGATTTTTAGGATGCGTATTTTCGAATGGAATTATTAACTTAAAGTATAAGCTTACTAAAAAATATAACGGCAATTATGGTAAGACTAATCGTCCATTTTAGATTTAACCGCCGCGTTCGTGCCTCAGATGCCATTTCCAAATAGTAACCATTATTCACCTAAATTATCGAAAAATTAGTAAAACATGAGTTAAGCAATTGATCTTCATAGACTTAGAAATTACCATGTGCCCTTGATCTGGCATGACGAGGGTAATTTGCGAATCAGTTAAAGATTCTTTTTTGCCTGTACGTGTTTGCATAAAATTATTTATGTTTAAATAAAAAATTATACATCTATGCTCACAAATATCGAAATAAAAATATTCACCTTTTAAATGTGTCTCCTGTGGCATATTAATCGAAGTGTGAATTGAATTCGTTCCATTGGCATGTTCAATTTGATTGTTATCAGCATTATCAGCGTTCATGTTTCGTGACAACATTATTAAAAAAAAGCTTAGATGCAGAGTAGAATCTGTGCAAAGAATACGATTATCATAAATTATGGGAAAATCGCCGCCTTATTATTACGGAGAAGGAAAAAAAGAATGTTATTCGGATGGAGATCTTTCTCAAATCACACATACAGTTCCTGTTACTAATTATTGCGCAATCTTTTAATTTATCTCCCTTTTATAAGAAAAAATCTTTGGACTGTTATCATCCGATATGCCGCCGTGTGTACAACAGCGCGCGCCATTGCCATGCAAAAAATCCATTTCCTATTTTTATTATTGAATTTCTAAATTCTGTTATTGTGAGAATTTCAATAGTAGACACTCATAAATACATAAAAAAAAATAAGCATATACATTTATATTTTTCATGTATTTTATGAATGCTATTCTGTTAGTTCACTATTGTCATTCATTTATGTGTATACATTTATGTTTGTAATCATTCATCATAATACATAATATGTATTAGTGTTCGATTCTGCCCTATCGCATGCTTATTGATGCAAAATTGTCGAAAAAGCACCCTAGAAAAAACAACTGTCTATAGCTATACGCGTGAGCACACGTTGCATATCGATGATTTAATTGGCGTTAACCGAATGTATCATTTAGTAATAGCTTGCATTCACACCAGCACGAATCATATATAGGATATATGTTGCATAAACAATGACAATACGTCTAAAGGATTCCTATTTGAGAAAATAGCTTAAAATTCGACGATACTTTAATGTTGACTTTAAAGTAGTGATAGGGAAGAAACTCAATATGCAGGGTCTCCGTTCTTTTGCGGCGTTAATTGATGACACATTATTGAAAATTTTTTTCGAATGGCGCTATTTGCTAATTTTTTTTGCGCTTCGGTTAATGATGAATATGTCTGATCATATCTAATTGTGATCGAACATTTGTGCTTTTCCCATTGTTGAATTTTTTCACGCACTCTTTCTCCCTTTTTTTGTTAGCCAAACTTCGCCTCCTATTTTTCCGATGCTACGTCATTTCTGTAAGCGTGGAAAATTTTCTCTCGTCTCCAAAAAAAAAATGATTGACCAAAAAAAAACTTGGTGTTATCAATAGCGTGATAACAAATAAATTAATTGTTTTACATTGTTTACTGTCTGTGTGGAAAGATGATTGGCATATGATTTTAAGAAAATTGTGTGGGGAAGAATTGTTTGTTTGTCCAAGTCTCGTGGGGTTGTGGTGTTTGCAAATATCAAGTTTCCCCGGATAATTTTTTGATGGTAATTTTTTTCATCGTACATACATGTATTAATTAATTTTTCTGTAAAATTAATGCATGAACACAAAGATTTGCATATATTCGCATCAAACTTAACGCCTTGATTTTCCCTTCCTATTACATGTACTGATATTACTAATTAATTAATTATAAGGAGTCTCCGATTTTTAGTACCAAAAAAAAGCGACTAAGAACTTTTATTCTTCGTTGAAAAATATACCTGTAACGTATATGTCCTCCGCGAGAAAATTATTTTTCTTAGACGAGTAGTAATCATTGTGAAACTTAAAAATCTAGATCTCATTGTTGAGTTTTTCTTTGTGTTTATGTCATATCATTATGCGAGCTATATACGATAAACTTTAACTTTCGATTTTCAATAGTCTAATTAGTGTTAGTATTCTTTGTGATTTAAAATTTTATCTCGTGAAAGATACTTTTTTGGCAGTCTCGTGATGTTTACGCATAAACCGGTTTATTGTAAAAAAGCACTATTCGGAATCTCGTCAGTATTATTATGTTCAACTGCAGTAGCAGCACATCTCCTGAAAATCTAATAGCGAAAATCTTATCCTACATTTAATTAATTTTACATGCTAATACATTATCTCGCGTTCGCCTTCTTTTTTTTTTTTTTGAGTTGAGCAAATATTTTTTAGGTTGAGCGAATATTAACTCAAATATTCTATTGGGCGGTCAGTAAGTTCAATGCAAGTACGTAGTTTTAGCATACTTCGTATTATATTTGTATAACTTTAGAATTATTACATCTGCATAAATTGGCATAATAATCCATAATTGTTTTCTTTTACGTAGATTTACCAGAATAAAAGCATTGAATCCCGAAATTAATAAATGCAAAAATGAAAGCAGAATGATTCAAACCTCGTTATAGTAAAAATATCGGGGTAAGCGAAAAAATCTTCATTATAGCTTATACTGAAAGAATATTAAATAACTTCACTATATCGTTCTATTTTAATCAGCAGCGAATCAAACTTAACACAAAAGCTAAACCCCCTCTTAACCACACACCATGCCTATTTATTATGTTTTTTATTCAAAATCACCATGAATGATT